CTTCCTTGGTGTGTCTTTTGTGAGGCTCCTCCACACCTACACCCCACTTTTTTCTACTTGGGTATCATTGTAGATCCAGACTGCACCTTGGTATAGTTGCAGGTTGTTTCATATGTGACAGCTTGATGGAGTACAGTGTCAGGAGTTGGGATCCCCAGAGTGGCCATCATGCCTCTGGGGCTCTGACCATGCCAGCTCCACCCCAAGGGCAACTTCTAATCTCACCTGCCACACCTTGTTGGTAAAATAATGAATAGAGAGGCTGCCCATGAGCCTTTGTGTGGCTTCGGTCCCACTAAACCCTACTAGACCAGTGGTTCTCAACCTTTTTTGTACCAGGACCCATTTGTATGCATTGATGACAAGTCCTGACCCAGCGCCCCTAACTCCTGACCTGCTGCCCCCTGCCCCCAGACCCAAGCCCTGCAGTGTGTGGGGTGTGGGTATGTGTGTGGGACATGGGGGCCCCAAGCAGCCCCTTGCAGGCTGGAACTCACACAGCCAGCAAGGGAAGAGCCACAGTTTCCCATGCTTTTCTCCTTTAAAGAAGAACCCATTTTTAAAGTTTGTTGATCCATTTTTAAAGTTCATTTGCGACCCTTTCCTATATTCTTACGACCCACGGGTTGAGAAACACTGCACTAAACCACACTGGTACTAGACCCCTTGCCGGGCCCCTCTCAAAGATGGTGCCTAATGGGGCAGCTCAAGCCTTATGGACTAATAGCTTGGCTCCAAGCCTCTCCTATACCACGCCCCATGCCTCACAGGTGTTACACAAATGTTGTTATCTCTGCTGGGGCCTCGACTTACTTGGCCTCTGCCCCTTTCATCTGGCTAAGCCTTCTAGCCTAGATCCACTGTGTCAGACCTGGCTTTGAGGCACTAGCTCCAATCAATCTCTTCCTGTCACCGGGCCCCTGGCCCTCATCTGCTGTGCTCCTCTGGTGCCAGGCTGTCTGGCCCCTGTCTGCTGCACCCTCAGGTGCTGGGCTCCTGGCCCTGTGTAACTGCACTCTTTTGGCACTGGGCCTTCTGGCCCTAGTCTGCTGTGCCCCTCAGGTGCCAGGCTTCTGGCCCCTATGTAGCTGTGCCTCTCTGGCTTTCTGGCCCTTGTCTGCTGTGTGCCCTGTGCTTTGCACACACTCTACCTGCTAAAGGCTCTATAACTACCTAAGCCCCGAACCAGCTGCTGGCGGGGCTCTGGGTGGCCATGTGCCCCCTCTAGGCACTAATGAGGCCTCCGTACTTCCCCTTACAGCCTCATCCCAAACCACCAGTTCAGACGACAACACAAACATAAGCACAAGGGCTGTAACATAACAGTAATGATGGGGGCTGCTCTCTGCCCCTTTAAGAAGGCAAACTTCTCCCCTACTACAGTGTGCCTCCTAGCCCTGGGTACCTTATGATCTCCTAGAGCCTTATTAGCTTTGCAGGCAGCAAATCAGGCAACCAAACATCTTTGGGTAGCTCTTTCACACAGGAATTCCCTCCCCTGGCAGTTGCCAGAAAACTAACTCCTGCCACCCCAGCCTTGGGGCTTACAGGTGCCCAAGGCTCTGTCTCCTTCTGGTCAGCAGGTGCCGGCTAATTACTTCATTAGACTGTTGCTCAGGAAACCTGCAGCTGTAGCATACTGCCTAACCTGCAGAGCAGCTTGGCTAGGCTGCTTCTGCTCTTAAAGGAGCAGGCACATCTTAGTGCCCTGCAACACACAAGTGCCACAGGGATCTCCCCACAGTTCTGTCACTCTTCAAGAAAAATGCCAACACAAAAAAAAATTAACTTAAAGGAGCTCAGTCTGAATGGTGGGCAGGGCATTATTGCCTCATGTGCTGAGCTGCTCGATCTTGAGTGCTAGGGATTGAGTTCCTATTCCCCCAACCCTTTGTCCCCTTTGGGCTATTTGGCCCTTTTTCCCCAGGGCCTTACTAGTTAGCTGGTTGGCTAAATGTATCAGGACCTGAGGGTATTCTACACTGGGCCCACTGACTACCACAGCTGTCCCCCGTTGGAGCAATGCGGAGGTGTGCAGGATTCGTAAGCTGTCCCTCCAGGGCTTGCTCTTGTCAGGTGCCCACAGGGCCCACTGGTCAGCTCTCTCCCATCCCCACATGACTTTTGATACTCTGGGTGGTTCTTCTGCTGCGACTGTGTGTGAGCTAGTCGGCATGCCAGGCTGTCCGTGAGTAGGATCAAAAGGCTCAGTGTCACCCCCGGGCCTCAATACTCTGTGGGCTGGTGGGTCCTGCTGGCTCAGTCCAAGTCACTTGCCCCGGCACGTGAAGCTGGCTCCCAGCTGGCTGCAGGAGCTGCACTCAGTTTTTCCCCGGCTGCCTCCTGGCTGAGGTGGGTGGGTGTGTTCCCCTGTCCCAGATGCCTCCTGGCTGAGGCATGCCTGTGCTGCTTCCCAGTGCTTGTCAGCTGGCAGATGAAGCATTGGGTTGCTTCCAGGGGCACGGAGTGCATCTGGCTCCATCTCCGGTGTCCGGAGACATCCCCACTTCCTTCCAACCTCTAGGCTGGTTTTAAACATGTGGCCTCTGGGCCATGTGCCAATAGGGAGCAGGCCTTCAGCTATGGAGTACCAACTGTGCCATTCATGGCTCAGCCACCTGAGCTGCAGCACCAAGGTAAACCAGGAGGGAGCCTGTTACAATAACCTTATATGGTTTAGAGGTCAAATTGTAATTTTTAGCCTTGGGTTCTTTTTTGCAAGCCCATAATATTGTGAAAAAGCATATGGAGATGCTTGAGTAGACATAAAGACTCTATTCTGCAACAAAATTTTGGGAAATAATCAACTGTCAGCAATTGGAGTTTCTACAATGAATCTGTTATGATTCCCAGCAAGGACACCAATTAGGAGAGAGCATTTTATGATACTATAATTATAGTTGAACTGGCAACCTAAAGAAAAAACACCCAGGATGACTTCATCCAGAGGTTAGTGTCTAACTGATAGGCTCCTGTTCTTCCTTTACTGCCTTCCCAACCTTTGTGATTCTAGCATTCAAGGTTGCTTTTCAAAATTAAATGCATGATTTATTCTAGCAAATAAATGTTTAAATGCTTTTTAGAGCATATTTACATTAGCATGTATAACAATTCTGTGCATTTTAATTTATCAAAGATTCTAAACTCAGTATCTGACCAATGAATTTAGTGCATGACCAAGGCTAAAATGAAAGAGAAATTTGATCCCTGGATTA